GAAATCGAATTTTAGACCCTTGCCGCGAAATTAAGAATTTGTCTGATTTTTACAGGCAGGCACTCTTAATAAGCATATCCTCTACAGACTTACTAAACTTGATCGAGTCAGTAAATGCCGTTTTTATATTTTATGAAGTATCATATCTCAGTCTGTGGATGAAACCGCACGAGTTGTAAGCAAAACATTGGCTTTATTGTAAGCAATACATTGGCTTTATATGAATGAGAAGAACAGTGATTGCAGCCTGTAAACAGGTTTCCAATTTGATTATAGAGCAAAACCGGAGCTAACCAAGAGCGGTCTGGGGAGAAACAAAGAACGCGCGGTTCGTTTCGCTCGCCCAATATTTTTTAGCGCTTTTCGACTTGCTTCGCTCGCCGAATTTTTTTCTCCGCTCTCGCCGGAAGCCTGTTCATAGGCTACAGTGACTTGTGAAAGATTTTATGAATATGAAACCATCAGAACATTAGTGTGTTAACTCTGTCGTCCTATTTTCGTTTTTAGACAGACATGCTTGAGGTGTCCATTAGATGGAGAAACAATTGCGCCAGATGACTCTTTTCGTGACAGATGCTGCGAAAGGGAAGTGCTTGATTTGAAATGTTCCTGTCGATACGCAGAAAGGAATTGTGACTGGAGGGGGGAATTGAGGCATCTGAGGGTAAGTGCTAAACTCGCCGCCACCTTCATGATGGGGAAGACTTTTAAGATTAACAATGTATTTTTGTCACAGGAATTCGACTTACTGTATACTTAAACAAATATAACTGAACGGGAGATAAAGTCAGGGGAACAAGTTGAAATCGAAACTTTCATCGTATGCTTTATGCTAGCGTGATAGTTGACGACTGACAATTCACACTAGCGACATAACGAAATAACGACCCAAAAATAACGGGATAAGAAGTGAACATCCCGACATATTGACAAAATAGCAACATAACAGCATGAGCATACCGACATACGGGAAAAAAATACAGTCCAATCTCTATAAAGCGGCCAATCTCGGGGACAAGACAACTGGCCGCTTAATAGAGGCGGCCGTTTAATAGAGGTTCGGTTTATCAAATATAAGTACAAAGAAACGCAAGTGGAGAAAAAAAATTCAACGATGATGGTTATTATACAGTCCACAACGTTAAAAAAAGCCAAAGAAACAATTAAGTTTCCACATTGTCATTCTTTTACCTTCATCTGGCCAAAAACGTCCAACTTCAAATCTTCCTGGCCGTTTAATAGAGGTATAATAGAAGTTCGACTGTACTGTACTGATCTTTTCCTTATCTTTTGAAGCTGAGTGTAATGTTGCTATGCTATTATGTCTCTCGGCGTGAACTAGGCCCCAACGTGGGTTTGCATTGGACAAAAGAAGAGGGGGGGGGGAATTAGGCAATTTTCAATAACATAACATGAAATAATATTAAAACAACAATAATATAATAATAACTAGTAGTAATCAAAGATTATGAGAGTGCGTTCGACGCCGTCACTTTAATATATATACCTTAAATAAATGGTTTCACTAGCTGACTTTGAACCTCTGTCTATTGCTAAAATCAACGTTTTGCATCGACAACCGAGATTTTACAGACAGAAATATCGTAGTGTCATAATATTAAAACAATACTACTGCTACTACTACTACTACTACTACTACTACNACCTTAAATAAATGGTTTCACTAGCTGACTTTCAACCTCTGTCTATTGCTAAAATTAACGTTTTTCATTGACAACCGAGGTTTTACAGACAGATATATCATGCCAGTTTAAAGAGGTCCCTGTACAAACTATGATTTGTTGATTCGTTGCGTGACAGCGCCAGTTTCCGTAGACTCAAATCTCGTGCTAAATATTCTGACATTAATTGGTAATGTTTAAGGGTAAAAGTTAGTTTGAAAACGTATATTTTATTACATTATTCTAAGCTGGAAGCACAAATATAAGCACCCTGCGAGCAGAGCCTCTTTTATCGCTTTTTTGAGCGGTGCAAAGCATATGTGCCATGAGAAAAGCCTCTGCTTGCAGGGTGAAATATAAGCGGTACATTTGCAGTCGTGTGCTCGTTCATCGTCAGCGTAAACAAACTCCCTGCGACTGATTCGAGTATTTCCCCTGATGAATAAAGTAGACAGTACTTACATAATTTGCCGTTCCTTGGTTCAGGCACACTCTTATGGATCTTTTTCCACCGATTCCAAACAATAT